TTTTTGTACGAGAAGATAGCTTAATTGTTTTTAAAAAATGTTTGCCATCAATTGTGGTGATAGTAAATTACTACAATAAAATGAAAAAAAAAATTAATAAAGGAATAAATTGGAAGAAAAAAAAATTAAAAGGGATAAGTTAGACAATATAAAGTAATATTAAATTATAATTACCTAAGTATAAGCCAAATAACGTTTTAAATACATCCGAACCTAAATGGGAGCGCTGAGCGCTTCTTGATCACGCTGAATCCCTCTAACCTAACAAAATAGTATATGTTAAAAGGAGACAGCGCGATCAAAAAGCGCTCAACGCTCCAATCTAGGTTTCGGTGATACTCATAACAAAGAAGTTGACATATTAAATTTATATATTGAAATTAAAATTATTAAGAAGTAGCTGTTTGACTTTCGTTTTAAAGCATTGGAGATTTCTAGCATTTTTTATTTCGTCGGGAAGCGTATTAAATAATTTTACACCATAGTGCCTCAAGGATTTCGCACTTCTTTCCGTTCGAAAGAATCGCGGTCTGATGTTCGACCTAGTTCGTAGCGCGTATTCGAGGTTTGGCTCCTCTGGAATAGATAAATTATGTTTTATTACATTATTTTTAACTTTGTAAAATGCTTCTAATGTTTGCAATATAGCATATTTACGAATATCCAACCTATTTTGATATAAGAGCTCGCTTGCCGTTCCTCTAGGCAAATGCAAAATATTTTTTATAACTTTATTTTGTATTCTCTGAATTTCATTTGTAAGTTGCTCAGAGCAGTTATTCCATATAGGGTTTAAATAATGTATTTTGGACATGAACAGAGAGTTGTATAGAAGCCATAATTGTTTTTGTGGAATCACTTTACGATTTCTATAAATAGCGAAATTTAGCGGTAATAGTTTCATTTTAATTCTGTTTATGTGTTCTCGCCAGTTTAAATTGGCGTCAAACCAAATGCCAAGGTATTTTAATGTATCTACCCTCGATATGAAACTACTATCTAGATGAACTCCTTTTAGATCATGAATACTAGGGATGTCCCTGTAATTGTTAAAAATTATGAAATTGGTTTTGGCTAAATTCATTTTCAATAAATTTCTTTCGAACCATTGGGATATAATATTTAGATCCTCTTGTATATAAGTTAAAAGCTCATCAAGACTATTAGTAGCATACAGGAAAGTTCCGTCGTCAGCATAGAATTGCGGCATACCCTTTAAATTAAGCTTTAAAATGTTATTAATATATATTAAAAATAAGGTGGCTGCCAATTTGGATCCTTGTGGAACACCTGTTCTAATGGTTTTGATTGAGCTTTTACAGTTTTTGATTTCTACATATTGTTTTCTGTCAATGAGAAAGCTTTCAAAGAGTTTAATTGCAATGCCATCAACTCCCAACTCCCTTAGTTTTTCTATCATGATGGGAAGATTCACTGAGTCAAAGGCTTTGCTGAGATCAATTGCCAACATACCAACATACTTTTTTTTATCTAAATTTTCATAAATAAACTCTGTGCAATTGATACAAGCAGATAGCGTGCTAGATTTTTCCGTGAATCCAAACTGATTATCGCTGATTATTTCATTAGTTATAATAAATTGTTTTAATCTATTTAATAAAATAGTTTCAAATACCTTATCAATCGTACTCAATTTCGTTATTGGCCTATAGTTTGAGCAGACCTCCTTATTTCCACTCTTGTAAATTGGAACTACGGATCCGATTTTCAACTCTTCTGGATACTGACCACTTTTAAAACAGTCGTTAATGAACTTTGATAACAGCTCAGATAATTCTTCTTTATATTTTTGTACCAATCTGACAGAAATACCATCCGGACCATTTGCCGACTTTGGGTTAAGGGTACTGATTGCATCTCTTACCTTTTCGAAATCACACTGACTTAAGACAAAAGGATGTGTTATGCCATCTACAGGCTCAGGGGAGTACTCAAAATTTTCTGGCGTTTTTATAATATGTATAAAATAATGATTAAAAGCGTCTGCTATTTCCATTGGTGTTGTAAGAACTTTATCATTATAATCTATTTGCGTGATAGCTAGGGGCGATACATTAGTTTGTCCATATATAAGCTGATTTAAAACTCTCCACGTCTTGGCACTGGATTGGATATTATCTTCAATTTGTCTACCATAAAATTGCCTTCGCGCATTATTAATTTTATTACGTGCTTGAATTTTAAAATACCTAAACTTATTTTCAAAATATAAGTTATTAATATATCTCTTTTTTAATTTATAATATTTGTTTTTTTCTTTGATTACGGCTAAAATTTCGTTATTTAACCATGGCTTCTTAACATTTTTATTGGTTTTTTTAATACGCCTAGTGCATTTTCCAATACTACTACATAGTTGTGTATGAAATCCCGAAAAGTGAGGTTGTTCTAATAAATTGTATATATGATTATTTTCTTCGAATAATGCGTAATCAAAAACTTGTATTTCACTCTTGAGAGGTTCTTTATTTAGTACATTGTTATTAAAAGTTAAAGCTAGGAGTCTATGATCAGAAATTTCATTGTCATCTAACGATAGAGTGTATGAAAATTCAACTAAATCCGTCAGAGCATGATCAATGATGGTTTTGGAATCGCTTCCTCTTCGTGTATACATCTCTCTGCTCAAACTGTTAAGAAAAAGAAACCCACTACTGAGTACCATATTAATATAGTTGTTTATATATATATTTGAAGTTAAAAGGTTTAAATTATAATCACCAACAATTATGGATCTCTTATATTTTAATACTTCGTTCTCTAATTTGTCAACAAAGAGGCTGATATCAGACGCACAGAATCTATAGACGCACGAGATGTGCATATTTGCTTTAATTAATTTTACTGTCAAAAAGCTACTTCCTTCATATTCAATTACAGATACGAGAGAAGATGGAACTGTTTTGTGTACGAAAATTGCGCACCCTCCTGCTCTATTTGAAATACGATTTGCAAAATAAGCAGTATAATCTTTCAAATTGAAATACATATTTTCATTTTCGTATATCCAAATTTCGCTTACCGCAACTACATGAACAGTTCTACCCTCTATCGTATTTTGTTGTATCAGCATATCAAGGTCATTCAACTTATTTCTAATACTTTGAATATTTAGATACATTATATTAATATTTTTATAATTATTGCTAAAAATCAATTTATTTAACTCATATTTCACATTAATATCAAGTGCTGCATTAACAGCTTCCATGATTATAGAAAAAAAATATATATACTTAAGTAGCTAATTACTCAAGTTTTCTCATATCATCAATTTCTTTAATTAGTATAGCAGCAGTGTTGTTGTCTTTTCTTACAAAGACTTTCGCATCCTTCACCCACACGTATTTGTAGCTTTTTTTGTTTGCTTCTGATTTCACCTTCTTCATGAGATCGCTAAGCTCTTTCTCCATCAGCTGATGAAAGTTTACATGTTTTCCTTTCATATCAATATCGGTAAGTATTTTGCTTACATCTATCTGCCCACCTTTCTTTCTAAATTCAAAGCATTTGGTTTTTAACTCATCGCATTTCATTTTCACAATTATGGGATGTGTTCTAAATTTCTTGTTTTCATTTTGAAACACATCTACAATGCTATCATTGCTTATGTTGGCATTAACTTGCTCGGCAATTTTCATGATGACCGGTTTTAAGTCTATGTCTTTTATTTGTGGTAGATTAGTTATTATTAAATTGTTTTTGTTTTTTTCTTGTTTTATCTCCATCATATTACGTTCTAATGTTTTCATTTTCAGTTTCACATTTTCTCCATTCGTTTTAATCTCTTTCATTTCTTTTTTAATTTGTTTATTTTCTTCTGTTAATCGATCGATCTCTTTCTTAAGTGCATTAAAGCCATCACTTATGTGGTCTTGGGACTCTCTTATTTTTTTCAACGCCCTCTCCTGCACTTTAAACTCTTTGTTTAGCTTATCTATTATTGTAGTTAAGTTGACAGAAGAAGTTTCGTTGTCGCTGGAATCGCTTGAAGTTAAATCTTTTTCTTCGTTATTATGTTTTTTATTTGTTCTGGTTTTTGGCGCCATTTCTTACTTTTCTATCGCCGTCTTTCGTAGTGTTACTTGTTTAACCAAAATTGTAATTTCTTTTGTGTTTGCAAACTAACAAACAAAAAAAAAATGTGGTGCACAAATCACTTTAACAAAAGGAGGCACTTGAGTTTTTATGTTTTTGTGGTTTTCTAAGTTTTTAACTGCCTTTATTCACTTTAAATTTAATTGTTTTAACTAAGCTCTGCTTATTGCATCCTCTCACTTCAACTGACGTTTGATTTGCCCCTTTCATTGAATTAAATCGAAAACCTTTTTTAATTATTACAAAAAATATCTGGATAAATTTTGGGAAAACGTTATTTTCATAAAAATTCCAATTAACTAATATAAACTTGCGAAAATTTTGTAAACCATATTTTCGTCAACAATTAGTAAATTCTTCATTGAATAAATTTTAAACGCGCTAAAAGGCAAGCGCATAAAAATGTTTGTAAATACATATACATACCTATGTAGATGCATTTATATCAATGATGGGCAAAACGCTACTCGCGAGCAGTGTTGCCATTTTAGCCGTTTTCCGGCTAGATTTAGCCGGTTTCGATAGCAAACAGCCGGAGAAATTTCGATTTAGCCGGCAGCCGATTTGTTAGCCGTTTTGCAGAAAAAAATTAGCCGTTTTTAACCGATTTTGCTATTTTCCTTGTTTTCTTAAATTTCAAATATGTATATATGTTTCCATTTTTGACTAAGCCACCCAAAATCTGTAAGAAATGGCTACTAGCCTTATCGTGGAGAAAATTTTCATGTCAGACAGGGCCATATAAAATTGGGCCGATTTCGCTTATTTTTATTTTAAACGAATATATTTTCTCTAAATAAAGCCGTAACGGGGATTTTCTTCATAAAATGTTTGTTATAAATGTCTTAATTTTAAGTATGAACTTTTATTCGCAAATTTAGAAAATAAGAAATTGTTTCACTGTTACGACACTTAAGATGCGTTTGTGTTTGGATATAGTGCCAACAAACAGAATAAATATTATATGTAGATATTGTCTTCCCAGATAGCGCATATTCAATTCTGCCTAAATTACCAAACATCATTTTTGCCAACTCCCAAAGGTTTAGGGTAAGGGAAAAATTAATATTTTCAAGCACTATGGTCACATATGTATTTTTTTAAACAAACTTTTTCGCTGAGCACTTATTTAAATTCCAAAAACCGAATGCCAACTTGAACTAAAGGAACCAACACTAAGGTGAGTCAAAATGAAAATAAAAGAGCACAAATTTCTATGTAAAACAAAACTCTCTGGGAATCCTACGAGACATCTGCCGGTCATATGACCGGTCATCCAAATGGGAGATCTGCAGTCTTTTGGCATCATATTTTACATCAGAATTGAAGAGATTTCTGAAAAATCTGACCATTTCTTTTGTGTAACTGTGACTTTGCATCCCTTGTCAACATATGGCCTCGGTTCATGTTAACTTAAGGTCGTTGTTTTACTGCCTTAAAATTGAAGGGAAATTTTTACTGCGTTTTTTATTTGTATTGGTTTCTATTTGAGTGTATTGAGAGTCGGTCAGTCTAAAACGGCCTTGTAGGGAAGACAATAGGTTTGTTCGCCGAAAATCCAGCGAGAATTATCACTCAAAACATCAGAGAGTAAGAAAAAATGCTCCCAAATTCTCTCTCGTGTAGAGAAACTTGCAATTTTCTGTACGAACGACTCTGTACAGTCCGACTTTCTTCAACATATGTTTCAATTTCTTTGTCGGGTTTACTATATCGACTCTGGTTGAGATTGCATTCCGATTAAGAATACAGTTTTTTTGCCGAGTACCTTTCAAAACATTGCAATTAACTAAATTAATTATGTAAACAAGTATTAACTTACATTTTTCATTTTAAAATCGCTCCAGTTTGTAAATTTTTAAATTTAACGAACTTGTTTATTCAAATTATCGTCGACAAAAAATCCCACCATGTGCCACAATCATATGTTTTTCCTAATTGCAAATTCTTGCTGGCAAAATTTTTTCCGGCTCGAATTTGTAACTGCTCTCCAAAAAATAATCTTTTTACTCGTGACTTATTTAAATAAAACATGCGAAGTTTAGTTGAAACATTTTAGCCGTTTTTAGCCGGATTTATTTGCCAATTTAGCCGGTTCGTCCAAAAAGTTCTGGCAACACTGCTCGCGAGTAGCTTCTGCGTCGCAGCGCTTAAGGCCGGTCCACATAGAACTTTCGTGTTAGCTTTGGCGTTGGCGTTGGTTTGACAGAACGCACGTTAAAAGTATGCTTGCTACAATGAGCGCTTGGCAGCGAATGCTTGGGCCACTACATTAATATACTAACGACAGATAAATTAATATTTCATATCAATAATTGCATTAAAAACGATATTTCTTGCCCGCACTTGATTAAAAAGGAAAATATTTCACATAATTTTATTTATTTGCAACAGCTGACGAGCGACGCACGCGAAAAGATGAGAGTTGGCCATCTTTTTGCTTTGTGTTGGCGTGAGCGTTGTCGAATTTTGGCTATGTGGACGGCTGCATTTGAATTCATGTATTCATAGTCAGCTGTTGAAGCGACGCCAACGCCAACGCAACGCCAAAGTTCTATGTGGACGGGCCTTTATACGTATACAGAAACGACGCAGCGAATTTCACTTCAGTCTGCTTTCAGTTTTCATGAGAGTAATACCACGCTTCGCCGTTGAATATTTTTATTTGTAATTTTAGCGCGTTGTTGCCACCTATATATGTAACAATGCCCAAAATGGCTGCGTATGAGTGCCAATTATAGTTTTTCGTTTTAAGGAAAGCCAATAATGCCCAATGCTTGTTACGTGGTAATACGACTACTTGGAATCGTACTTTTAATATAAGGCAACATTATTTGTCATGGTAAAAAAGTCAAACTGCCGAACTGTGTAAACCAATTTAAAGTGTTTTGTAATAGGCTTTATGTATATATGTATGTACGATACGGCAATTTAATATATTTAGTATACTTTATTGAATACTGAGTTTTTTACAAAGTTTAGAAATTTTAAATTCGTGAATTTTGTTGTTGAATAAACTATCATTTTTTAAAACATTAGTTTAATGAAATTAAATTAAAAAAACTTTTCATGCGCGTACATATGTACTTATAAAAATTAATTTCATAATTCATTATTTGAAATTATTTCTTCATTATTTTTTTATTATATTTTATTATTTTCGTTTCATGTTCATAATACAAATTAAATATAAATTTGTAAGAGCGTTTTCTAACCCGCGCAAAAAACGACGCACTTTTGTACAATATAGAAAAGTGGCAACTGTTACTCAGCGCGATTCACGAATACCATGACAAAATGAGACTGTATTGGTGTGCCCATCTATGTTTATATGTATGCACTTATGCAAATAAACAAATGCTGCGCGCGGTTAAAATTGTTTCGTTATTTTTTTGTATAAAAATATGGTTCATGCTTTAATCAAAACCACATAAGTCAAACTTTATACAAAACTTAGAAAAATTCAACAAATTTTCGTCTAAATTTTGAACTTTTTAATCTGAGTTTTTAGAATGATAGATCGGTAGAAAAGCAAGTGCAAGTTTTAAGCGGCTAAAAAATCGCGCAGATTTTTAATGATTTTTTGTTGCGGACGGCTTGTACTTGTTACCATATACATAAAAGCGAATTTCTTGTAGAATAAAATGCGCCGTTTGCAAACAAAATAATAAAACAAAAATTAAATACTATATTTTATAAATTACACCTGTTATATGCATAAAACCGCAAAATACGTCGGAAAAAAATTCATTAAAAATTAAAGCGATCTTTTATCCGCTTAAAACTTTCACTTGTTTCACTAAAATTACATACATAACCTATCTATCTGCGTACCCAAAACTTTCTAAAAATTTATGGCCTTATTCATAAAAAATAAAGTAGGTCTCAAGAGCTTTATAAATTGACGTTTTCATACATTTTTCAATTTATAAACCTTTTATAAAGCTACTTTATTTTTAATGAATAAGGCCATTTGATTAAAAAGTAGAAAATTTAGATCAAAATTGGTTGAATTTTTCTACGTTCTGTATAAATTTTGAAAGTTTGACTTATATGGTTTCGATTACTGCATGAACCTTATTTTTATAAAAAAATAACAAAAAAATGTTTACTTGAAAAACATTGTAAATATTATACAAAAAAGAACCATGCAATCACTTTTGATTGCCCGTGTATGTACGTATGTGTGTCTAACAAATTATGACTTGTTATCAAAATACCGATATTAACTTATAAACTTAATATTATATAGTACAAATGTGTTTATAAAATTAATTTCATTAAAATTATTTCTGCAATCAAATTTTCTATTCATGCAAAAAGCCAAACGCATAAATATGTACGTATATACACATGCATTTGTAAATATGTAGATATGTAATGTATGTATCATAATATGTACATACAAATGTACGATTGGTCGGCTTTCGTCTTCCCCTCGCCGCTCCCATCAACACACAAATTATTCAATTTCTGGGAATCGACACCAGATTGGCACGTACGCGAAAATATTAACCCTACGTTTACGAAACATTTAGATTTTCGCATAAGTTTGCATTTAATAAAGCAATACTCGTACATTTTGTATGAAGAATAATATTAATTAATTTAAAATTCTGCATGTAACCATGTTCTCTACAATGCATGTAACTTTCATCAAGATTAACCATAAAAATTGTGCTTCTTTAACAGTTGGAACCAGCTGAAACCAAAAAAACTCTGTCCGCTAAAATGGGTTAAAAACCAACTGGAATTGACATTTTTTACACGCATACATGCATACATTCATATACACATGTACAGTGGAGTAGCACTAGCTTGGACATTGCATTGCTTGTACTTTGATGTGTTTGAATCTTTTATGGTACTGAAGATTTGCTTACGGATGAGAAATATTAAAAATCGTCCGTGCATATATGTAAATATACTTTTATAAACGCTTTGAAGTGTA